ACTGATCTCGAAGCGCAATTGTTCACGACACCAATTCGGAAATTCATATGGTTGCTTTTTCAACCTCTATTCTATGCATTTCGTCCATTAATCATATATAAAAAAGCTCCGTCAGATCTTGAACTTATCAATGCGATCGTTCAGGTATCACATTCTTTCCCTCTCCAGCCGTCTGTCCTGAGTCTGTCCAATACGTCTTGCAATTTACCCTCAGGTAGCGTTCGATCTGTTCGTACTGCAAATGTTCGGCGTACGACCACTCGTCTATCTGATTTTGGGCACTCTTGCGGCAATGGGAGTTCACCCGAGTGCCGGACATTTCATTTCTGAGCACTACGTCTTCAAGGAAATGCAAGAGACCTATAGGTAAGTGGATGGTTGCTTATCTGCGGTGCCGGTTTATCATCCGTTGAGATTTTCTCTAAGAGAGGGCCTTATTTTGTGAGCATAGGACGTGGTTTGCGGTCGATCGTCCGTTGAGATTTTTTCTAAGAGAGAGCCTTATTTTGTGAGCATAGGATGAGGTGTGATGTTCAAAGAACAAAGATAGTTTATTTTGTGAGGGCATTTAATGAAGAATATTTGTGGGTAAGTGGATTGGAATAAATCGTTCCCCTCATTATTGTAATTTCTAGTCTTGAATACTTTATTTTATTATTAATTCCGCCGAAGGCTGTGCGATTTTAAAATAAATTGATGTGAAAAAGGAAACATTATCTCAATAGGGTGTTTATACCCTATATAGTTCAAAATAGAGAATGAGGTTAATTCCCCGTAGTTCATTCTCTGCGATAGCGTTTTTATCAATGTTTTCTAGCGTTACCAGAGTCTAAAGCTTGAAGGGAACTAAATTTTGGAAAATAAGAACAACGCATGGTTGACCCTGAATCCGACCATACTAACTCAAGTATAAGAAAATGAAATGAGTCCGAGTGGTTGAATTCCCAAAATAGAGAGACATTTGACGATGGTTTTCGAATCAAATTTTTTCAGGACAAATCAATGTTTACAACAAAGCACTAATTGAGCATTCTTCACCACTTTCCATGCAAACACTTTTGAAGAAGGGTAATAGCATTCGAAGATAGAAAGCTAGCGTTTTCAGATTGACTCGAAGAATTCTTTAAATAAATGAGCCATGGAAACTTTTTTTTGAACGAGTAACTTCGTGGAGCAGTTTGAGTACTGTGGAACTACAAAGCTAGCGCTTTTTTGCCCTTCTTCTTGTTTTCTCTGCAGGGAGGTGATTCTGAAGGAAATCATAGGCACTAAAATTTTGAGAGGACCCGCATGCGGAGAAAGCACGAGTCGACTCTTCAAATAACTCAGTGTTCATGACAACTTTTAGGTAAACTTGTGATTTGAATAATATTTATCAGTTAGCATAACATCACATTTCGTGGAATTCTATGTGCTTATAGAGGAAAAAAGAGCACACTCCTCGGAGGTTTATTGTTCACTTCATTACAAAAAGGGTTTCCAAATTTGCGAAATATTTAGTGTTTTCTGAACAATGAGGTATCTTCAATTTTAAGAATATGTCAACGGTTGTGAATCCTTAGCAAGGCTTCTAGGAGCAAAAGTTCATGCTGTAAGAGCGCTGCTACGCAAAGCAGCGACGTATCCGCGAACATAGCACAGCGGAGAGCATTTTTTAAACCGTATTCTACAAAAACATGCCTAGCAAAAACAGGAGGGGGGTCGTATGAGACTCTCTGAGGGAGGATTCGTAAAAAATTTGAACTCGGCGTAAAGGACGGTTAACCCCGCTGCGGACACCATCAATCGTTTGAAAGAGCGTCGTATTGAAGGCCTCTCCAGAGGGGATTGTTCCTCAGAGGGGTCGCTTAAAGCGAGAGATTACGATAGGGTTGTGTTGTGTTCATAGTGGAAGTGGAAGATGCTGAATAATGCCCTAGTAGCGAAAAAAGCAAAGAAATCCGTCAAAAACGCGCAAAATGGGACCACTTCCTCTGCCCGTTGACCTCCGATAATGGACGAGTTGGCAACCAACTAAGAGGTCGTCGGCACTCGTTAAACCATAGCTGCCATCATACCACCAGAGATCATACCTTGATTGATATAGCATTCCATGAGAAAGTTATTGGATACGCGCTCGAAGTGGCATACCTTATCAGAATGATAATCGAACAGCGATCTGCTGAGGGGCGGAGCACAGGCCGTGGCGGAGCTCAGAAAAGATTGGCAGCCCCAAGCAGGGTCAACCCTATGTTGCTACAAGTAGCAACAGGGGGTCGTTCTTGGATGGACCCGGAGGGTGGGGGGTCTGATCATAATCATGTTCCAGGAAGAGCATGAGAAAGGAAGACTTGCAGAAACAGCAGCTGCAAGACATGTAGCATCGTTCAAAAAAGTGCTCCCACCATGACATGGGTCCACCCACGAAACCACATTTGAAACTAAAGTGTAGCTGGAGTATTGCCTAAGACAACATGGACAATAGTCACCACATTACGTTTACGCAAGATAATTGATGCTAGAGCATCTGTAAGCCGCTTCCTTCTGAATGAGCTTTCAAATGAATCAGCGAATCAGAAGTGCGACCGAGGCGTGGCGCACACCAAGGCAGGGGGAAATCAGTGCAAGCGCATGCACAAAGCATTCTAACACATCCTATGGTCAGCACGATATCTTTTCCCTGGACGTTGCGGCCAGTGAAACCTAAAAAAAACCGCTTTCTTAAGAGAATGGCTCGGAGAATGCCCCTCAAAAAAATGTGAAGCCAATCAGGGTGAAAATCGTGTCGAGTACGTGGTCGCAGAGGTACGACCCCCCCCCCGAAATCGAGATCCTGGCACGACCCCCTCTAACAGAGCAAATTAATTCAATTAAAATAAATCCTGCAAAACAAAAAAAAAAAAATCAAAAAAAAATTCTGCAAAATAATGCTAAGGACGCTTCATCTTGTCATCTATGCACGTCTTCCATCGCTGCATACTTTTGTGTACATACTGAAATATCGACTCGAGGAAAGAGGCATTAACTTTGTGTGACCTCAAGGCGAGGTTCGTTCAGAAACGCACAGAAATCCTGAAGACACGGGGTTGCGATTCAATCTTGATTCTTGCTTGAGTATATCAAAACAGCCGAGTGTATCAAAGGCCGATTCAACGGCAGCTGCGGCGCGATTGTCACTGGGTCAGATTTGCCGAAATTTCAAAAAAAAACGTCCGAATCTACACCCTCGATGAAAAGGTTGCATTCCTCCATTTCACAACCTTTGAAGCAGCTTGAGGTAGAGTTAGATAGAGCTGGATTTCGCGTTTCCAACAAGCATCGAAATTGCTCTGGAAGCCTTCCATGCAGAAAGATAGGGTCTCTCAAATTTCGTCGAGTAAATGTCGAGGAGGCTGAAATTTTCACGCGAGTTTTTGCCACTTCAAGAGCAATATCTCTCTTATATTGTAAGATCCTGAAAAAGGGAAGATAGTTTTGGAAAGGAAGGTTTGCGCTTCCTGATGGTCTGTTTAGTTTTCTTCTACAGCTTTTTGGTTGAAGAGATAATTGCGTCGAGGATCTATCGAGGACGGATCCGGCCACCTGGAAATCCGCTCCCTCATTCACCATTGCAAGTGTGACTCGTTGGCAACACTCGGAATGTGTCTAGAACAATATCTTTGAACGCAAACAATAAGAATAGGAGCAATCGTCATCATCCGATTTGGTATTGGTATAAGCCATGCATCCCTCCTCCACTCACAGTTGCAGAATCGATTGAAAGGTGTTATATGATGGGGACCTTCGAACGAAACTGTATTGTAGTAGACATAGTGTGTCGCTTTAGCGAGAGGTGCGGGTTCTAGTCCCGCCTGGGGCGAAAGTTTTGTTCACAACCCAGCATTCTTGTGAAACATTCGCAAGGCGAACTGCGGCCAAAAACAGCAGTTAACAAACAAAAACATAGTGTGTTGTGCTATTCCTGTAACCTAAAAAACAACTTCATTTGCCCAGCGCTTTTTCTTCACGGTTGTCGTTTTTCCGACAGGGTCCCTAACAACAGCGTCATTCTCAGCGAGGTATTAAGGGAGAAGGAGCGAGCGATAGGCAGAGGAGGTGCCTTTGCAGCGCGTGCGCACATGTGGCAGTCTTCTTTGCGGGGATGCACTTTCATTCTTTGTACTGCCTTCAAATACGCCCTTCTCATGAAGGTGGAGGAATGGAGCGACTGAACCTGCAAAGAAAATTTAATATCATGTTTTTTTCGGATGTTTTCATTTTCTGCTGCGCTATACCCTATTACCTATCTGCACCATGATACCACTTCTGTTACTGACCCCAAGAGTACGACCCCCCATGGACCAGCCCAACAGGTACGACCCCCCTGTCGAGGATTTCCTCGACCGATATTCACCCTGCAACAAGACTAATTTTTATACACTCACTTTTCGGAACGTTCGGGTACTTTTTAGAAAGCTTGAATCCTGTAGTTTCTCATACCGGGTTCAGCTTCCCAAATAAATGAGTTTGAAGGAAGTTATGATCGTTTGAAGGTTGAAAAGTCGCGGTTTCAGAAAAATAGTTCCGCAAACCCCCAAAAAATGTAACAACGGGACTAATTTTTGAACTACTGATTTTCAAAACGCTTGGGTGCTTTAGAAAGCTTGAATCCTGTAGTTTCTCATACCGTGTTCAGCTTCCCAAATGAATGACTTTGAAAGGAAGTTATGATCGTTTAAAGGTTGAAAAGTCGCATTTGCACAGAAAAAAGTAACAACGTGCTAAATTTTTACTAAATTAGCTTTCGATGAATTTCAGATATGATTGGAGAGAGAATGATTTGAATTTTTTAATCAAATAACTCCGGCGCAAAAGCTCGAATATGAAGAAAGTTATAGCCCGAAAAAGAGGAAGGTGGAAATTGTAGTGCAAACTCATTTCCTGCTCAATAACTTAATTATTTCAGATTGTTTAAGAACAAATCCGCTCTACTTAAGAAGGATGACCCTCGGTGATCCAGAATCCACCTCCGTCTTGCGAGGAACCTGAAATTTTCCAAGGAAAAGTTCCTATACTTCTCGATTTCCCATTTCGACACCTGCTCCCATTCAACAAACGCGCCCCATTGCAGCACCCAGCGCGCGATTCAATACATTCGAAACCTGTCAACACGCGTTTCCACTACCTTCTCGGCATTCTCAATCATTTCCCCCACTTCTCCATAATATGACGCCACAACCCACCCGTTTTCTCCAGCGGAGAATGCTTAATGACGTACTCTGAATCTCCTATGAAAACTCACCAGTAGGATTTTGGGCACAATGTGGCTGGGGAGGGGACACTCTGTAGAAACGTCTCTGGGACTAAGCCTGCGCATTTTGTTTAGTCCTGATCTCGTGACGGATATACCCTCGCCTTCAAATGACCAGAAATTGTGCAATTGCAGAAATTGACGTGGCATTAACGTGGCATCGATTCAAGAACATCTTTGAGCACACGTGATGTCACCTTTTCATCGAGAATTTAGCCACGTGTGCCACGTGGATTTCTGGCTGCACGAAACAGAGGTTACTTCACTTGATTAGTCCTGATCTCGTGAAGTTTGAAATGTTCTATTATTTTATACTTTTCCAGGGTGAAAAGAAACCTCATTATAGAGATAAAAGGAATAAAAAATTGGTATGAATTGTGTCTTCATAAAAATTAGACACAGGGGGGTCGTACCAAATCGCCCATGGAGGGGGGGGTCGTAAAAAAATCCAGAATGTAGCAACGATAGGACCGACCCTGGCCCCAGGGCGCTGCAACGAGCGCACCTTAGCCACGAAAAGGCCACATCTCGATTCCTTTGGGCTCTAGCTACTGCTTGAAGTGCTGCTCGTTCTTCCATGCTGCACAGAACTTTATCGTAATTTCTCGCTTTAACTACAAAATTCTTCCTAATGTGATGAATGGACCTAGCCTTTCTTTATGCATGTGCATGCGTGCTTGAATTTTCGAATAATCCTTTTTCGCGACTGATAGGAACCTTTGTGAGCTTTAGCTTGAAGCTCAGCTGAAGTGTCGCCTTGTGCAACAGATTCACACAAATTTCTTCTCCGTTCGGTCTCATCACGGATATTTTAGCTATTATGGTCCCTGGAATCTGTGCACCTTCAACGTCGGATATCACGTCGAACATCACGATTTCCCCTACATTCCTGGCAGGAATCTTCCTCAGGTCCGTCAGTTTTGGTAACTATTCCAAAAGCGAATATCATAACTGAAGTGCTTACAGGTTCGGAAAATCGCTCCCGAGTTCTACGACAATCTCATGACGCACACCTCATGGACGAAAGTGTTGTGGGATTTCGTATTTTCACCAAATATGGGGCCATATATGCGTCTGAAAAGGAGGTCTCGTGTACCTCAGAAATTTGAGGCAAGGCATGCGCTTCTCCAGTACTACGAGGCGGTACGTGCATCACATTGTTTGATTCTTTAAAATGACTTGGCAGGCTGCACTTGTTCGGCAGAGAGCAAGGAGCAAGAATCAGGATGAAATGTAATAGATGTTAAAGGGCGTCCACTAATGAAACTAGAGGTAGACAGTGATCTAGAAAAGAGAAAAGGAAGCAAGAAGAAACTCGTGATTTCGTCCCGAATAAGGACCTCCTCTATTCCAGGCTCATTTCGCCTTGAGATAGAGAAGTCGAATTTAAGGCGTTGGGCGAGTTTTACGAGCCTAGCAGTTGCACAAGTGCCAATACATTGAACCGGAATACACTCGCTGCGCAAGCGCACCCGCGCTTTTTAACACGTTGACGACATCGCACGTTTTGGCTTTGGCATTGGCTTTTTTGGCCGCGTTGGACCGACGCGATTTTGAAGGCGCAGTAGCATCACTTCATAACTCTGGAATTTGAGCTGTGAATACGCCAAATTTTTATGCGACAAGATGTTTCCATTACTGTCCAATGTATTCTGAAGTTCGGCTAAAATAACGCGTTATGGCTACGAGAAGGTAACTTTACGCACTTTCGCTCTAGTGATTCCAAAATTATTTTGAAGTAATTACTTCATTGAAAACATGTATCTTTTCACGCGTCTAGGTTTGTAGTTACTCCTCTTATTTTTCCGTCTCCGTGTTTACGCTAATGAACAGAAAATGAGGAATGAACTGGAGGGATATACTCCTTAGGTCCGGAAAACCTCTTCCAAACTACGGATGAGGTTTTCCGGACCATTCTATGGGTCACGTGGTTTTTGGTTACGTTGACGTATGGCCCATAGAATGGATATAAAAAACTTGGGATATAAAAACTGCCGTCAAGTGTTAATGCAGCGTCACGTGGCAACCAACAACGGAAGGAGGGGCTTGCGCACGAAAGAGTAAATTGCGGGTCGAGCGAGCTTTTGTCGCGCTCTTTCAAAGCCGCAGGAGGGGCGCGTTATCAACGCTGGTCCGCCTGTATACAACGCACGGGTATGGAACAGGTTGGAGTGCCTGGTCCCGAAGCGAGCCTTTAACACATTGACGACATCGCCCGTTTTGGGATTTTGCCACCACGTGGGACGCAGACGATTTTTTCGCGAAGCGCCGCCCCGGCCACCCACACACCAATCCATGGATTTTGAGCTGTAAATACGCAATACTTAGATGCGATGAAGTGTTTTCAATGAGGTTCGATCTGTCTAACTTATCGGTGATTTCAATGAGGTTCGATCTGTCTAACTTATCGGGATTGGCAGTAATGGAAGTTCGACTGAAGTGACATGTTAAGGCCATGAAAAGGCAAACTGTACTTACTTTCCTTTTTAGTGCTTCCAAAATTTATTTGAACGTGGTATCCTTCTATTTTATAAAGCGCTAACTTTGTGTGTCGGTTTGTGTATCTGTATGTGTGTGTGTGTATGTATGTATGTGTGTCCGTCCGCAAAATGAAGTGAGTGAGAAGGAAGCTCATGGGATAAACAAACCGCTAACAAATCGGGTAGCTTACAGGATTTGAGATATCAATGTTTTGTAGCAGGATAGTTGTGATAACACTCTAGGGCTATATAAACACCTGCTTAGCACACTTCCGTTCATTCCACATGGTGCTGCAGTGGCAGCTGGAGGGCAGTGGAGAGAGGAAGGGAGGATGAGGAAGGGAAGCGAAAAATCTACCGTCATATCATGATTGTGTCCCTTCTACTGTATGAAACACCATTGTGTTGCATACGCGTCACTTCCAGGAGGTGTTGGTGTCACAGGAGGAAGGGACCATAGCGGAGGATAGAAAGCTTGCGCAGGAAAGGAAGGTCCCGGCGGTTGACGGGGGACTAATCTGGTATAGTAAAAACACATACCTTCCCATACGAATAGGTTTGTATTCGCTTCTGTTATTCCATTTCATGTTTACGTTATTGAAAAGAAAACGAGGAATGAACTGAACAGACATATCCGTAAGGTCTGGAAAACCTCTGCCAAACTAAAGAATATTTGGCCTTTCTGTGAGCCATGTGGTTTTTAAGTATGCTAATGTATGGCCTATAGAATGAGTACAAAGACCTTAGGAATAAGTCGCACAAGCGCAAGAAAAAGGATGACTTGGGTGGGACGCGTTACCGCGTCACAATGTCCCACGAGGTGCGCAAAGTGGGACGCGTTACCGCGTCACGCTGTCGTCAACGTGTTAAGGAAGCATCTGTATTCTGTTCAAGCGCCTAGCATATCACCTGTATCACCTGTCGTCCCGTTGATCATCGAATTGCTCGAGCGGGCGCCAGCAACGTCTCCATTCGTCCCTGTCGCGTGCAAGAGTTGTCCAGTGGACCCTCCTCGCTCGAGGGACACGAAGTCCTTCATTCCTTTCGTTCAGAGCTTTCGTGAAGAAGTCTGACCATCGGGCCGGCGGTCGTCCAGGTGTTCGTTTGACGTCCCGAGGGATCCAGTCGGTAACCGCTCTGGTCCAACGGTCATCACAAAATCGCATGACGTGTCCGGCCCACCTTATCTTCGATTCCTTGGCGAAAACGGCAGCGTCCCTGATCTTCTCGACAGCGCGTTGGATAACGCTGACCGCATGCTCGTCCTGCCTGCGCAGAGTCCAAGTCTCTGAGGCGTAGGTTAGGGCAGGAAGGACTGCGGAATCGAAGAGGTGGGCACGGAGCCGGATGTTCTTCGTCTTCTTCACTACTCCCTCGATGTTCTTGAACGCTCCCCAAGCCGCTCGTTTCCTCCTGCTCAGCTCTGGAGCTAGATCGTTCATCATATTGATTTCCCGACCTAGGTACACGTAGCTGGAGCATTCGGTGATGTTCGTTCCGTTGAGCGTGAATGGGGCATCAGGAACCAATCCGTTTCTCATAAACATCGTCTTCGTTAGCTGTAGACCGACCTTACCACAGGCGCAGTCGAAATCAGCCAGCATTCGCTCCGCTTGCTCGGATGTTCGG